AACACAGCAGGGGGGCTAAAATCAGTCGCGAATGAGGTAAATGGGTACAATTTGGATGTCGTGGCTCTGCAAGAGGTTCGCTGGCCAGGGGAGGGCTCGATGAGGGAAGGGAAGTACACTATTTGGTACGGAGGAAGCGGGAATCATTGTTTAGGTACCGGGTTTCTAATTAGGAGTAGATTACTATCCACTTTGAGGGACTTACAATTCTTTAGTGATAGAATTTCGGTAGCTACATTTCAGGGACGTTGGTTTAAAATCGCATTAATAAACATACATTGTCTGACCGAAGACAGTGACGATGAAGTCAAAAGTGAATTTTACGATAAACTCGAATGGGTTTATGATAAACTACCGCGAAACTACATGAAAATAATTGTAGGTGACGCGAACGCAAAGGTAGGAAGGGAAGAAGTTTATATTCCGACGATTGGTAAAGAAAGTTTGCACGAATATAGTAATGATAATGGGATCTGTCTGATAAACTTTGCCATCTCCAAAAACCTGATAATTAAAAGTACGACGTTTAAACATAAGGATATTCATAAATATACTTGGACATCACCGGATTCGCAAACACGAAATCAAATCGATCATGTCTTGATACAACACAGCTGGCAAAGCAGTATAATTAATGTACGGTCTTATCGCGGAGCAGAATGTGGGTCGGATCATGAATTAGTAATCGCGAAACTTCGACAAAAACTTAATATAAAAAAGAGAAAAGAAAACCGTTTCGATTTTGAGAATTTTAATTTGGAAAAATTAAAAAATCCATCAATTAGAAACCAATTCGAGTAGATGTTAAGAATAGGTTTGAAGCTTTAGAGCTTCCTGACGAGGACCACGAGGATATTGACAAGTTATGGATAGAGATCAGGGATAATATTAAAGCGGTCGGTAACTCGTGTCTAGGAAAAAAGGAAAATAAGAATAACAAACCGTGGTTTGATGAAGATTGCTTAAACATGTGTGAAAAAAGAAAAGCCGCTAAATTAAAAGCTCTAAATAATCCTAGCGAAGACAATCTGGAATACTTCCGAATCTCAAAGAACGAAACGACAAAATTGCTCAAAAATAAAAAAAGGGAGTATCTTAAAAATAAAATAATTGAAATAGAAACTAATAGAATCGAAAATAACGTAAGAGACATGTACAAAGGTATAAACAGATCAAGTAAATATGTAGGGCCCGTAACGTCTGGAATTAGGGATGATAATAACAATATTCTGACCGATCCGGTTGACATATTGAATAAGTTTAAGGACCACTTTGACAATATTTTAAATACGGGAAATTATGATCTGTGTCCTCCTTCTGAGTACCAGAGTGCTGAACCATTAATAGAAGGACCAAGTAAAGAGGAAGTTCAAGTAGCTATCGGAAAATTAAAATCATATAAAGCAGCGGGAATCGATAATATTCCTACTGAACTAATTAAGGCATGCGGGGAAGCTGGAGTTTCTAAAATACATCGGTTGGTTAAAAAGATCTGGGTGAACGAGAAATTACCTGAAGAATGGAAAGAATCTATTCTTATTCCGATTCACAAAAAGGGTCCGAGGACGGATTGTAATAACTATCGAGGAATTTCACTCCTTCCGGTATGTTATAAAATATTCACTTTAATCTTAACCAGTCGATTCACGGAATACGCCGAGAAAATTATCGGAGACTACCAATGCGGATTTAGACGGAATCGTTCGACTATTGATCAAATATTTTCTTTACGGCAAATATTAGAGAAAAAATTGGAGTATAACGGTATTGTTCACCAGCTGTATATAGATTTTAAAAAGGCTTACGATTCTATTGACCGCCAGAAACTGTATAATATTCTAATCGAGCAGGGGATTCCAAAAAAACTAGTAAATCTAGTCAGGATGTGCTTGACGGAGACACTCAATAAAGTTAGAATCGGTAATAATTTGTCCGAAAAATTTGAGGTTCGTTCGGGCTTAAAACAGGGGGATTCTCTTTCGCCTGTCCTGTTTAATTTGGCATTAGAACATGCCATTAGGGAGGTAATGCGAACCGAGAAAGGGTTGGATCTGGGCGGGACAACATCCGTGCTGGGCTATGCTGATGATCTGGTACTGTTAAGCGAAGACGTTGAAACTATAAAACTAAATACGACAACGTTAATGAAAGCCGGTAAAGAACTAGGACTCGAAATAAACGTGGATAAAACAAAATATATGGTTAGCTGCAAAAAATGGCGATACTACTGGTGATATCGATATAGATGGTAATATGTTTGAACAGGTAGATAAATTTAGGTATCTAGGTTCTACGATAACTAGAAAAAACGAAATTGAAGAAGAGATTAAGGTTAGACTGAAGGCGGGGAATGCTTGTTATTTTTCTGTGACAAAACTACTTAGTTCGCGCCTCTTGTCCCGAAACTTAAAAATTAGAATCTATAAAACAATTATCTTGCCTACAGTTCTTTATGGATGCGAAACTTGGCCGCTTACATTAAGGGATGAGCAGCGTCTTAAGGTTTTTGAAAATAAAGTATTGCGTAGAATATTCGGACCGAAGAAGGATGAGTTAACCGGAGAGTTCAGACGGTTACACAACGCCGAATTGCGTGAGCTGTATCCGGGTAATATAATTGAGGTAATTTCATCGCGGCGAATCAAATGGGCTTGTAAAGTTGTTGGGCTTAGTAACGAGAGAATTCCTAAAAGGTTAATATTTGCTGTGCCGAATGGTAAGCGTCCGAGAGGTAGACCGAAGCGAAAGTGGGAAGATTGCATTAAAGCCGATCTGAAAGGACTGGGTTTGGACGGCGAACGGTGGAGGGAGGTGTGTAACAAGCGATTGGTGGTGTCAGCATCGAACCTTCGGGTTCAGTAAGCCTTATTATTATTATTATTATTTATTAAAACAGCTTCATGAAGCGGTTGCCTTTTAGTTGTTTGTTGCCATTGTCTATTCCAAGTATTTACGATGTCAGCTAAAATGTATTTTTAATGCAGTAAATTACACTAGCACAAATAATAGCCTCTAGATATTGGAACATGAATCTATATCAAATCTACTTTCATTGTTTCCCATTCATGAAAAGTGGTTTAAGAGTGCCAACCTATCATGAGATGTTTTTGTTTAAATTTGGTTCGTGAAGCGTGCAATTAATTATGAATGCATATTTTGAGGGGATTAAGGAGGGGATATACAGCTGTCTTGAATAACTAAATATAATATTTTTATTTTTAGGACCCAATATTTTCATGACCCAGTTTTTATAATGTTTTGAAGACGAGAAACTAATCCATGTATGGTAAGCAAAAGTATTGCAATCATTAAAAATTTTGGATCAGAGTTTTCAAAACAAATATATAAGGTCCCCTGAGTACAAATAACCAAGTCTGGTGTAGTGAGCAAAAAAGCTGGTGCGCGCATCACAGGACTTTCAGTTACCACCCTCTCCTTAGCAGAAATAAGTATTTTCAGACAAACGGGAAGTGAAAGTAAAAACTATAGAAGCTAAATTTATTGACATTTCATTGTGGGTATTTTTATTTATTAAATACCATTTGTATAATGACAAATTTTAGTTTTTATATTGCTGTATTCTATAAAAGTAAATATTAAATAATGCCAATGATAGAATTTATGAAAACCGCATATGTATATGTACATAATATTGTCGGAGCGCGTATTATATTAAGCTCATGTTATGTATGGAAGCCTATCTTTCGGGCGAGCTAGGCCGCCCTCATATTCTTTGGTTCTTCCATTACAACTATTATCCGTTATATTCTTTTATTTCTCCTTAAGTTAATTAGCAAATTCTTTCATATTTTATATTTAACTATTTTTTTATATTAAAGCTTAATGTGAACTGGTTAATTATTTCAAATAAAATAAATTGAAGGTATTTTAGAGGAAGCTAATATTGAAAATTAGCCATTTAAGCTCTGTTAGAGAACATCAATGAGAATAAAACCTACATTATATTAAAAACTGCTTAACAATACACTGATATACTGTGTTTAATCAAAATTGTCAGTAATTTTTGAGATAATCGTAAAAATGTGATAAATCGATTATATAAAGTACCACATTCAGTTTGCCGATTTTGATAAAAATGTTGCTGCAACATCCAAGGCTTAGAAAAATCTTAAATACGCAATTTCAGTTTTATACCATTTTTCGTTTTTGAGCTAGGCTGTTCATATACATACACACAGACCATTTTTTGGGACTTGGTTATTTGGACTCAGGGGACCTCAAAAGGTATATTTCCATTGAAAACCCAGATTTGAAAATTTTCATGATCGCAATACTTACCCTAACTATATATATATATATATATAGGTAAGTGAAAGTAAAACATCTGTGAGCATGTCTGTGTTCAATCTACCCCAAAAATAAACATTGAAATAACTTATTTAAGGCAGGTTATATAAATGCATTTAATCATTTCAATTTGGGCAAGCTCTCTTATTTTTTATAAGCTTCTAAATACTCGCAAACTTCAGTAGTCTCATTTCAAACGAATGAGATGAGGGTAAACTAAACCAACTTATGTTATGATCTTTTATGGCGACTACAGTAAAATGTTAAACTTATGATCCTAGTTCCACACAAATATCTGTATTATATTTTTTGCAATATTTCCCAATTTCCCTCACTATTCCTTGTTGAGTGTTTACAATTTTATCCCCAATTTATATTTGATTCTATTTTTTGTTTTTACATATATTGTGGCTTAAGCTATATGGACACTATCACTTCCATTTTTCTTTTGGACCTGACCAGAAAACATAGCTTTGCAACAATGAGCATAATAGCTACAAGATTTATAAAATACATTAGACAAGTATAAAAATTCAATAACTTATAGCGCTAATAATTTTTACATTAGCTTAAAACAGAAATTAACTCTTGTGATCCAATTTAACATATATGAAACTTTCTGAATTGTATGACAACCTTTTTTGTTAAAGCAAAAATAGAGTTAAAAATGAGCTCAACCAAAATTAATGTACCCAAATCATCATGTAGGTCAACTTTCATTTCCCAGATGCCTTGGAATTCAGAGGACATATTTAGTATTCTTGGACCAAAGGATTTAACACCTCCACCAGTTTGTACTTCAGCAGAAACTTCCATTCTCCCACTTTCGAGGCGTTTATGGGGAAGTGGAGAACCATCATGAAAAGATGATGAAATCTGTGAAAAAAGAAAGAAAAAGCTAATATTAGTTTTGTGGAAATCAATTGAATTTCACTGACAATTTTTATGGTACTAATAAAAAATATAACCATTTTAATGGAAGTATGTAACCTTGACCTAACTTCGTATTTTTAAATTTTTGAGTTTAACTAAAATTTATTTAATGAAGATTCTTTTGGTCTTTAAACATCATATGTAAAATATACATAATGGTTTTAAATGGAAAAGGCAATTAGAAAATGCTTTAATAAATTTCAAATGAAATATTGGTAGCATCAGTGATTGATTTTTTTTTTTTAATTTATTTATATGATATTTACAACTGTATACAAAAAATACATCTGGTAAATTCGCACATGGATATAATGACATGAAACACATGTTGAGAAACTACCCATTGATTTAAATAGTGATAAAAGTTATTTTATCTATCTTATACAGACTAGATACTTTATTTACGTTTATTATGAAAATTATAATTACATAAGTTGTAAATGGCATCATGGGTTTAAAAACTTGAGGAGATCCTCCAAGAAAATTGATCCGAACAGATGAGTTGAAAATTCGTGCAGTTGAATAGGATGAAATCACTTCATCTAGAAATCTTTCACCAACCGTTGCAGTTACAGTTATTTCCATTTCTTCTAAACTCGGCACATATTTTTCGAGTTCAGACATTGGGTAGTGAAATTCATAGACTCCATTAAACTGAAAATAAAATTAATATAATCAGAAGCAAAGTTACATTAGTAACTTCCTATAACTCTACTGGATAGAACAAATAATACAGGTGGACCAATAAAATTATAAATGTAGAATTAATTATATTTTCAAACACACACTCCTGACATTGGTTCCAAAAGGTGGTAACAATGAGTAAGCATATTAAGTGTGATGAAATCTCACACAAGCATGGATGGATTTAGTCCACTATGCTTTATACAAGATTTTTTCTTTTCTTAAAAAGACATATACACTCATATAATATTAATTTTGACATATTAAATTAAATATGTTTTCATTTTTAGCAACTTACGAATCTCAAATGTGGAATTTGATTAGTCTGCACATAAAGTGATGAGATCCAAAATGGAAAGGATTCGTCCTAGAAATTGAAAAAAAATTAGATAAAAACAAAACTAATTTATCGCAATAAACCAAATTTATAGCAAAAGAAAAATGTAATACTAACAAAAGTAAAATATTTTTCAAGTTCTTCTTCATAATCTTTCTTAAGTTTATTAATTGGTTTTATTGTTGCTTTTAAAGTCAAATTACCATGTACTGGAGCACCACTTGTATAATTTGCCATGACTGTTCCAGTCAAATATTTCTCTGTGGTAAAAAAAAAAGCAGGCATGGTAACATTTACCTAAACAAACAAAAATAACTGTCACCAAAATATAATTAAGAGACCTAAGAAATACAAATCTGTCAACATAAATTACTAAAATATATAACAACGTAATTAGTGAGAAGTTGTTCTATAGATAAAACCAAACTAACAATTCTAACAAGAGTGGGAAGGTCAAGATTCATTCCGTGAGTCCGCCACAAAATAAAAGTCAACCCTGCCCAGGCCGGATTTCAACCAGTGTCTAAAATGAGCAATGCTCTAACAAACTCCGGCCATCACGACCTCTGTGGGTTGGGCACTGTCTTCCAGAAGTAAAGGTTCCGGGTTCGAATACAGCTGATAGCAGATAAATTATTTATTCTGTTTCATCGGCCGTGGATCAATCATGGGGTTGGGAGATCCTCCTAGAGCACACCCAGCCTCAATAAAGTGGGTACCCTTAAATAAATAATTAATTAAGGGGGAATTGATGGCGGTTCCCCTGTGGTATCCACGAATCCACGTATGGAGAAGAAGTGAGGAATGATAATGATGAAAGAATATTAAATATGTGTGAATCTAATGGTTAAATAGTCACTAATATAAAATTCCCCCCTTAAAGAAACACACAAATATACAAGGGAAGAACCTAGTAGAAACGAAAGATTCATAATCAATTATATCCTTATCAAGAAAGAAAATATGAAAGATATCATTGATGTGAGAGTGAAGAGAGGTTTCAAAATAATAGGTAGCGACCACTATTTACTGAAAATGGACAAAGTATGAAGAGGAGAGGACAGAGCTGGTGAAAAAAAAAAAAAAAAAACGCAATTAGAAAAGAATCCATAAAATCCTACAGACTAAAGGAAGAGATCGCCACTTATTTCCAAGAAGAGATAGAAATGAGGGCAAGAGATCTGGAGTACCCATGGGCTAGCGATGACACAGAAACGAGCAGGAAATATTTTTAGTCAATGCTGGTAGAAGCTGCTGCTATGGTTTGTAGAAAAAGTAAAATAGGAGCTAGAAACAAAAGAAGCAGCAGGCTTTTTGAATCGTCGTGAGGTGGTGAAGAAGACAAAGATGGCTGTTAATAAATTTACGTTTCTCCCAATTTTAACATACTCTTCAGAGTCATGGACTTTTAACTTCCAGACATAAATCAATGTTTCAGGCCACCAAAATGATGTTTCTCTGAAAAGTCAAAGGAAAGAACAGAAGAGATCGGGTCCACAACATGATAATAAGGACAAAGCTCGACCTATATCCCGCCACGGAAGTAGTAGAACAGAATAGGTTGAGATGGCTTGGTCGAAGTAAGTAAGCTGTACTTATAGTACAGGAGTAGGAGGTAAAAGAGGAAGAGGAAGATCTAGATTGCAGTGGGAGGACAGTGTGATGAAAGCATTTACAAAGAGAGATTTAGATTGATTCAAAAGGAATGATCTGGTACAGGACAGAGACAATTGTGTCAAATTCTACAGAAAGTCTCCTCACACTGCCTAGGTGGTAGAAGAGGATCGATTATGATGATGATGATGTGGCAGTTGAGTGTGCGCTCAGTCAAATCACCTCCTCTCCCTGCACAGCCGTTGACCAAGAAACAGCACTTCCCCAACATAGTACTGAATCCAAGACCCTTTATGGGTTGTAGTAGATTATTTATTTTTTCTTTTAGGTAAAGATTAAGGGCCCTGACACAAACACTGATCAGCAGAATCTCACTCAGGAAAATCTTCCTCAAGAAATGGAAATAACAGCTTAAGTTGGTTCATTCTACAGTTCAAGATCCCCAACTTAGGTCTATCAAGGGTATATTTATGTCCATGAATCTCAATTAAGTAAAGGATTTCTTTTGTAGAAAACAATACAAGTATGTAATATTGTACAGTAAAAATTATAATTAACAACAAGGAAAGATAATTTCAGGAGCAGTAAAAAAAAAAATAATGAAAGGAAATTTAAATTTAAAAAAACAGCATCTTAATTTCATAGATCAAATAAACAGCATATAATTTTTGTAAGTGATTGTTCTAATCTAAATATTAATAGATTAGAGAAATGACTCTCTTTATTAATATGAGCAAATATATTGAGAGTGTTTATTAATATGATCAAATATATTTAAAGGATAATAATGATAAACATGTATATTTTTTATGGAAAAATGATAGCAACAATGTGCATTACCTCAAAACGTGTCTGATAATATTCTTCAACTAAAAAAGAAAATTCTTCAACTTGACCTTGAGCAATTACTTGAATAGTCCATTCACCGAACCGAGGCTGATCGGAAAGTTGATAATTCAGGCTAACTGTTCCTAAATTAGACTAGGAGAAAACAAATTAAAGTTAAATGTTTGTTAATATAATAGATTATTCATAAATTACTTTTTGGCCATTGTAATAAAGATAATATATCATTTATTTTAGGCTCCATTATGAATTCGAATAACAATTAAAATAATAAGTAAACCAAGATTTTTCAGTTAATAAATTAACAAGATAAATACCTGCCGTGATAACCAGCGTCTCATTATATACTTTTTAGGATCTAACATGTAGACATCTATGGTATTATCAAATGCTTGCAGTTCAGTATCAATAGGAATTGCTCTGAAATTAACTGTAACAAATAAATAAATAACAATACTTTTGTAATAATAAGAAATGTGTTACCACTAATTTATTTTGAAAGTCAAATATTTTTCTTGACAATAATCAATAATACCAACAACTTACATTTAAAAACATATAATTTATATTACATTTAAAAACTGCCATCTTTTCAAATAAATACTTAATCATAATTAATAATTAAAATAGAGTAAAATAAGTAATCAGTGATTTAGTTAACTACAGAAATGAATTGCAGCCAATTTTTTTAATATTAGAAATTTGGAGAGAACCAAAGTTAGGAAAGTTATTTTCTTAATATTCTTCCACTTTGACTACAATTTTTAAGATATATGGAACAGTTTTGTTTCTCTGGGAACCTCAAAACAAAAATAAGATGTTTGATGAATTACTATGAACAACTTTATGAAGTGTTGAAATAGCTTTTAAGTTGCTATCATTATAAATATTTCCTGGCATCCTTTAGCAAGTATGTGAATCCTGATGTCCATCATACATCTCCAATTTCCTTAAATTCAAATCCTCGGTTCCTTCTCATACTACCCATTCTTTGTCTTCAGATATATATACAACTGCCCAACACATGACAGATTCCGACAGATCTTTTCTTATCAAATTCTCTTCCCTCTGGGAAATCCATTCCTTCTTCCGTCCGTTGATTTAATACTCTTTCCAGCTTCAAATCCCACCTACACAAACAGTTCCTGTTCTTCCAGTTCCAAGATAAAGATAAATAGGGATCAATTTTAATCCAAATTTAAAACATTATTTGAACTTTTTAATTGTTATTACTTCCTTTTTAAACTATTTTTAATAATTAATATTAAAATTTGTCTTTTTCATTTTAGATATGTAAAAGTTCATAATGATTTATTATAATTCCACTTTTTTTTTATTATTATTACTACTGAAATAGAACCTTGGTTAGGTTGATGAACTGGGGATTTCTCCCTGCCTTTTCTTTTGTGTTTCTTTACTCTTCAGTAACATATTTGAATATTATAGTAAAATTTAAATGTATCAGTAGGATGAAGGAATCAATGAGTCACCAGCATTTCAGAGAAGTAATAAAAAACTTCTGGAGTTTAAGATTTTTAAAAAGAATCCTCTTTCTAATATTAAAGAAATATTCCTGCTTGAAAAACACTAAAAAGTATTAAAACTATACTATATTATTTTTAACAAGAGAATGCTGATTTTACAAAAATGTATCAAGAAATAGGATAATTGTGAGAAGTCAAAAATAAATTGACAAAACAAACTAAAATGTTGGATTATTTTGTTCTAGTAAAAAATAAGATATGATGTGAATATTTGCTGTTAAATTAATACACACTGTTGTATATACGCTATAAATAAACATATGTCTTATACATAATATTTTTTTTTTTTAGGCCCAAGACTTCCATTTAAGTCCTATATAACCTAATATTTTATACTATTGAAATGCAAATTAAGAGTATTAGTTATGCAAAAAGTTCAGAAATATATACTACATTCTTCTACCCTTAAAGAGCATAATTTGATTATCCGGCTTTTAAAAAGGCCTGTTTGAATTCTCAAATAAAAGTCGACCCTGAGAGGATTGACTTTCACTTCATGGCAAACCCCCTCCCTAATAAAACATTAATTGCACTTTGGCTGGAACATAGTGGTAACCTGTAGGTTAATCAACTATTTCCCTGATTGGATAACATATAAAGATGTTAAACCCAATAATGTTTTGTGTTATGTAAGATCAAAGCAGTCAAGAGACATAAACACAACAATGACACCTATGAGAAAACAACACAATTACTATATTATTATCGTATTCATTCAAAAATATATAGCTAACAATTTAAAAGAATATACACAAATTGACCATAAACAAAATACATAAATGGTTCGCAATAAACAGAATAGGATGATAACTTACCAGTTTGTCCTTGCATATAAACTGGTTTGTCAGTTTGAATGAAAATGGTCATGGAGCGTTGAGAAAAAGTTAGTTTTGTACTATTAACAAAAGCAGAACCACCAAGAATGGCATGATAAAGACCTTCAACATGTAGCTTGTATTCACCTTTCACACTTGTTGGAGGGATCTAAAATCATGCAAAGTAACTTAATGTATTGTAATATGTGAAGAAATGTAATGTAAATTCATAAAAATAATTATAATTATACTGATAAGTACTTTTTTATTGTAGTAATTATACTACAAACTACTTGTTTTATATTGCTTGAAGATGGTACAAAGGCTGAAACATTACATAAGAACTAAAATTGTGGAATGAATATATATATATAGTGAAACAAATTACTGCCCAAATTATTTTAACACCTAAACATCTTTTGTTTAAATATCTATTAATAGACTGAGTATCACAAAGGCAGAATTATAAAAATGAATTACCCAAAGTAAGCTTGAGTATGGTCCAAATATTAGAACATAAATTTTTTATCTTTAGTGTCAAAAATCTTTCCTTTCATGATGCCCTTTCCAATGCTCCTGATTCCAAATCCAAATGGAAAATACTCCATAACCTATCCCTACCCAAATCCAATAAACCCAGTTCCATCCTGGTGACTCCAGATGATCTCAATGACCATTTCTTATCCTTCACTCACAATTCTTCTCCTACTTTTGATATTAAACATCACAATTTCATTCCTTAAGACTTTTTTTTCCCCATGTGACCAACGATCAATTACTTTCCACTATTCTAAAATCCCACAGTAATGATTATGGTCCTGATAATATCTCAGTAAAACTAATAAATCCAGCCTTCCTGTCCTTTACCATATATATTACTTTTCATTGCAAAACTCCATAATACTATCCTCCTGGAAAACCGCCCTAGTCCAACATTTAAATAAAATTCTCAACCCTACCTCACCGCACGATTTCCATCCTATTTCTCTCCTATCCAACCTTTCAAAGCCATTAGAACCTGGTTAAAATCAACTCTCCAACTTCCTAGAGGAACGTTCCCTTATCAGCCCATTCCAATCTGGCTTTTGACCAGGCTACTCAATGCAATCTGCTCTCCTTAAAATTACCCATGACCTGCCAAACTCCATTGAACACCAAAACCTTACCATCCTCATCCTTCTAGATTTTTCCGACACAGTTGACCATAACACCCTACTCACTAAATTGCACAATCTTCCTCTACCCTACAGTGCCCTGCAATGGTTCAAATCCTTCCTCTCAAATCGATCCCAGTATGTAGTCGTCCCAGATCAACCTCCATCTAAGACCCTCTCCCTCTCCTGTGGTGTACCTCAAGGTTCATCTTTATCCCCTTCTCTGTTTGCTATTTACATTAATGACCTTCCTCTCCTGATCCATGTGTTAGTGTTATTATTTAATTAAATTGTGACTATACTGAGCTAAACACTTGGACTATAATATGCACTAATGCCACAGTGAGTACAGTTGTTATTTATTGTGTACAGTCGTGTGAAGTGAAACCGGTGTATAGAGGCCAGTTCTCTTATCTCACGGCCATAAGTACCTAGCCCAGCTAGTCAGATGGGCTTGGAGCTTTAACGGGAGAGGTCCTTTTGCGACGCTGAGACAAAATCAAGGTCACGCAGCATGTTTTAAATTTTTTTTATTTCGTTTTTTAAATTTTTTTTCTCTTCCTTTACTTTCTCTCGATGTATTATGCGATTCTACCATCAACTCATGTCTTCTAAGGGTGCAATAACAAGGTCTCGCTCTGCCGGATCAACACTACGTTCGTCACCTGTGAAAAAAAAAGTCGCCAATCGAAAAGAACGACGCCACCAGCAACTCCACCTAAAGTAGCAGAAGACACTCAACCTCAGCCCGGATCATCTCAGGATACAATAGATGAGTCTCCCTTTTTCACCCCCGAATCCTTAAGAAGTACTGCAAAATGAAAAAGAGGCGATGGAATCTGCACCCATTCCCAGAGACCCTTGACCCCCTCCAATTTTTATTAAAAATTTAAAAAATTTCCAATTACTATGCACACATTTAAACAAAATTACAACTCCTGGTAGCTACTCCTGTTTAAGCCAGACTAATGATATTAAAATATCCTCAGCCACAGCTTATGCATACCGCTAAATTATTAAATATCTATCCGACACAAAGGCAGATTTTCACACCAACCAATTGAGGCAAGAGCGTTCCCTGAGGGTAGTAATCCCAAAATTACACCCCTCTACTCCAGCCGAGGCAATACAAGAAAAACTGACGGCCCTAGGTTTCAAAGTCCGACAGGTCACCAATGTAATGAAGGACGACAGAGATGTATCTGGTGCTAATAGAAAAATACCATTACCCATATTTTTCATAGATTTAGAACCCTCAGCAGGAGTTGATAAAATATATAAAATTAGAAGATTATATTATACTAGTGTTAAGATTGAAAAACCATAGACTAAAAGAGAAATCATCTGGTGTCATAATTTCCAGGCATATGGCCACACTAAAACTTACTGCCACCACATTCCAAGATGCGTGAAATGCAGAGAGTCACACAAGACTAGTGAATGTAATAAACTGAAAACTACTCCCGCTTTATGTGCTTTATGTCTGGAAGGACATCCTGCCAACTACAAGTGCTACCAAGTCTACAAAAACATCAAAAATAAATTTCGCAAACCCGGCAACCAAGAAGAAATCTCTAAGCCCAGACGAGGACCTGCTAAAATAGTAGACTCTAAAGTTTCTTTTTCCCAGTTACTAGGGATCAGAGCCCCAAGTGACAAATGTGAGGCCTGTCGCAACAGGAACCCCAATCCCAACTTCAACATCCTATCCCTCCTAAAGTACAAAACTCTCAACAACCTCATCAACATCACATTCCTCCTCCATCACAAGCCACAGACCTTACCAGCTTGTTGGCATCTTTCCTCACTGAATTCAAATCCCTTGTTACCCCACTGATATCTCTCCTTTCAAATCGGTCCCAGGATGTAGACATCCCAGGTCAACCTCCATCTAAGACCCTTCCCGTCTCTTGTGGTGTACCTCAAGGTTCCTCTCTCTCTCCTACTATGTTTGCTATTTACATCAATGACCTTCCCCTCCTGATCCGTCACTCCCAATACCATATCTCTGCAGATGATTTCCAAATATACCTGTCCTTTCCGCCCTCCAACCTATTATCTGCCATAGAAAAACTTCAAGAAGACTTAGATGGAATTTGTTACTGGGCAGGAGCAAACAAGTTGAAGTTGAATGTGGATAAGACAAAGGCAATCTTAATAGGCTCCAATTACCTCCTTAAAACTGTTCCTAATATTTCAACTCTGTTCCTACACAATAATCCCATCAAATTTTACCCCACCATCAAAAATATTGGAATAACCATTGATCCAATGTTTTCATGGAAAAATCATATATCCAATATTTCCCGCCTTACCATTTCCACCCTAAAACGTCTAAATTATTCCCATCACCTATTTCCTTTTGAAACCCGTAGGTTCCTAGTCCCTTCCTTAATTTTTCACCACTTTGACTATTGCTGTACGGTATATGGGGGCCTCTCTGGGGATCTTTGTACGATTCATCTTCGGGATCCCAAGGGACGCTTCTGTTTCCCATTTTTATGTGGAGTTAAAGAGGCTTTATCCTTCCTACCGTCGTAAGTATTTCCTGACATCCTTCCTCTTTCAAGTCATCCAATCCCACCGTCCCTCATACATCTCCGAGCTCCTTCAATTCAAATCCTCTGTTCGTTCCTGCAATACTCGTTCCCGGTCTTCTGATTTATACATAAGGGCTTACCGAACCGCTGCTTTCGACAAATTGTTCATTATCCGATCCTCATCCCTATGGAACTCCATCCCTTCCCACATCCGCTAATCCAATACCCTTCCGACCTTTAAATCCTGCCTGTTCAATCATTTCTTATCCATCCAGTCCCCATAAAATTGTAAATAGATACTACTGTAAATATGTACATACATTATTAGTTCGTTCTTCATTATTTTTACTCCATTTTTTTAATATATATATATATATTTTTTTATTATCTAGTGATCAAAATCAGAAAGCAACTTATATGTATATTTGTATATGTGTGTGTATATATATATATACATATATATATATATATATATATATATATATATATATATATATTTTTTTTTTTTTTTTTTTTTTTTTTTTTCACCAAGACTGTTCAATTACTCTATTTTTATTTATGTATCTCTGAGGCTCCTCAGCCCACATTTCTGTCTTCCTGTATTATTCTAAAGGGACTCGTCCCAGAATAAATAAATTATAATTAGTATTATTACAAATCTAGTATCCCACCTCATCCCTCCTTTAAAAAATCGTTCAATGATTTCCTCCAAACCCTTATCCATTCTCCTTTGGAATGCGAATGGTGTTAGAAATCACACTGACGAACTGACAGCTCTACTACTAGACAAGAACGTTGATGTAGCCCTTATATGGAAACTTAACTGACCAAAAAACAAACTTTAAAAATACCACAGTACTCCACATACTGTACTGACCATGCTGACGGTAGAGCACATGCTGGCACTGCAGTCATTGTACACCAATCCCTCTCTCACCACCTACTCCCATTACCTACTCAGGATTTCCTGCAATCCACAGTTTTCTTAATCAAATGATTTCTTCATCCACAGTGGTTTAGGTTTCGTTAACTATTCCATTGCATGGCCTCAATGAACTTTCCTCAGACCACAGTCCATTAATATTCGAAGTATCATTAGCTCCTATTCCTAAACCCTCTCCAGCATCCTTTATCAGAGGCCCAGTTAACTGGAAACTCTTTCATCAAATCCTCTCTGATAAAATTGACCTCAGAGCAACCGTGAAAAATACTGAAGACCTGGACAATGCCGATCATTCCTTTACCACTAAAATCCAGGAAGCAATCTGGACGGCTTTCTCTCCTGATCATTCTTCAAAAATCCTCAAGAAACCCAATTTACCTCAACACCTCCAGCTACTTGGCCTAATCCATATAAAACGGCGTGCTAGATTATTATGGCAACATACCAGACATCCCACCAACTGCGACTCCTATAATTATTATTGTAAAAAATTAAAACAAGAATTAGCCACCTTCAGATCCCAATCATTCAACTCCTACCTCACCTCCCTCTCTGGTCATGATAATTTCCTCTGGAATAACACCAAAAAAATCCTAATATCCCATCATATTTCCCATCCCCTTCGTGGAGATGATGGTACCTGGGCAGCGTCTGATGTAGACAAAGCCGAGGAATTCGCCAAGCACCTTTCCTATACCTTCACTCCCCATCCAGAATCTCATTCCACCCACACAGTAAAAGTAGAAGAATTCCTTTCTTCATCTATCCCACTCTCTTTACCACCTAAAGCAGTTAATCCCTGTGAGGTCAAATACCTATTATGCAAAATAACTCCTTGTAAATTTCCTGGATACGACCTTTTAACCCCACAGATCCTTCCACAACTACCATCCAAAGCCATCATATTTCTAACGTATATATACAATTGTATCCTGCGAACTACCCACTTCCCTCTCTTATGGAAACATTCCACCATCATCCTTTTCCTGAAACCAGGCGAGCTTCCCAATAATTCATCATTCTATAAACCAATTAGTCTATTCCCAATTCTTTCAAAAATTTTTGAAAAGATCCTACTGAAAAGAATCCTATCCATAATAGATTCCCGAAAAATCCCTACCCATCAATTCGGATTCCGTTCCCAACATTCTACCGTCCAACAAGGACTCCAAGTTGTTGACCACATACCTTCAGCCCTAGAAAACAAGCAGACCTTTCGAGTTCGCTGTGGTACAGAATTTTCTAACTGTTACTCCATTGAGGCTGGAGTTCCTCAAGGCAGCGTATTGGGTCCCATCCTTTACATCATCTATACCGCAGACATTACCGTCCATCCCGATACACTCCTCGCAACTTTTGCTGATGACACTGCTATCCTATCTTCTAACTTAGATCCTGAAACAGTGTCCATAAACCTGCAATGGCATCTATCCCTGATTGAACACTGGTGCAAGAAATGGCGCATCAAAGTCAATGAATCCAAATGTAAACATATAACCATCACCCTTCGTCGTAATTCCTGTCCACCAGTTTACTTTAATTCCATCCAACTTCCCTTCTCCGACTCAGTCCGGTATCTTGGCTTTTTCATAGACAGACGACTAACGTGGAATCCACATACTAGACTGAAAAGATCATAGTCCTTCCTACGTCTACAACCTTCTCCAATTCAAGTCCTCAGTCCACTCACTCTCCACAATATCTCGACTTTCCGACCTTTACATTCCTTCTCACAGATCTGCTTCGTTCCAAAACTCCTTTATTGCTCGCTCTGTTAATTTTTGTAATTCCCTTCCTATCAAAATTCGACATTCTTCATCCCTATCTAAATTCAAAACCCTCCTATTCCAATTCCTGTTCCAAAAACAGTCAGATACCAGCTAACCTTTTATGTAAAATTACATATTATTTATAATAATATATTCACATATAGCTCATAACTTAAATATTTATTATAGATTCGACTTTCTTTTTTTTTTTTTTCAACAGAAACGCAGATTTTACAGTTAAGAAGAATTTACATTTATTTTCATTTTGTATTTTTTATTTTTTCTAAAAGGGTTTATTTATATTTTACCATTGTACACAGTTTTAAGTATCTTAGTATGGTTTCGAGAGTTTTGTATATAGATTATTTTATTTTATTTTGTATATAGTATGTATAACTAATTTTTTTTTTTTTTTTACTGATCTATCTTTATCATAACTTTTTATGTTTGTTTTTATCTGGCCAGATATAAAATTTTAATTTCTGTACTTTTTTGTTATTCTGAAGGGACTTCGTCCCAGAATAACATTATTTTCTATTCTAAAAGACAGAAACTTAACTGACGTTATGGCCAGCTATATAGACTACTTAATAGAAAATCTAAACTTTCTATTGAAAACAAACAACTAATCTACAAGACAATACTAAAATCCATCTGGACCTCCGGACTAGAAATGTGGGGGACAACCAAATTTTCTAACATTAAACGCATTCAATCCTTCCAGTCTAAAGTCCTCCGTACAATTATTGATGCTCCCTTCTATATCACTAATAAAACCCTGCAGAATGATCTTAATATTCCATTTATTCTTGATCTTATTCCAGACAAAATCTCCAAACCTTACCCATCATCCTAATCCCGTAGCACAGTCCCTATCTAGCACCAACCATCCCTACAATCCTCCTCGCAGGTTAAAACGGAAGTGGCCCCGTGACCTTTTGTAACATGTACATATTGGATTTCTGGCAATGGCCAGATTCTCCACTCAAGTCATGAGTGTCTGTGGTTGTAGAGCCCTTACTCAGCCTCCGCTGGCTTTTAATACCAGTGAAGTGGTTGAGGGAGAAGAGCAGGGATTTCCTGAAGCATCACTTTTCCCTCCATAAGTTGGGGGACAAGTCTGGTTCGGAGTTCCCATGGCCGATTGTAAATAGGTCTGCCTGTGTCTAAGATGTTTATTTTTATTACTTTTTTTTTTTAATAACATTTTTTTTTATAACATTTTAATTCTATTTTAATTTTATTATTACTATTATTTATATTTCCTTCCTTCATTATGATATTTTATTTTGTTCTTATTTCGCTGTATATTATTTTGAAATTACCTTATTTATTTTTGGATTTTGTATGTATGGTGTGAATGTGCTTTCTGAACTATATTATAATGTCCTTTATTGAGAAAGATTATAATATTTATCAATAAACAAGTGATCCATTGAAAAAAATTTAAATATACACATTAAATGAATATAATAGTCATAGTTATTAAGAAATATGTACATTCCAGGACATTTTTTTTGGTAATTTGACACTATGGCCAAGCTAAGAAAAAGTCCTAGACCAGACATCAGAAAAATGAGCTTCAGCCTCAAAAGAGCTTTCTGAACAGTCTTAGACTAGCTCTGCTTCTCATGCACATTTTTATAATTTACATATTTTTATTTCAATTTAATTAAGTATTTTGTTTTTTTGTTTGATTGAGATCTCTATTATCTTGATATACTAAAATAAATATCACATTAATGAAGTATAAATAGATATTTTCCATTGACACCAAGTTGTTCAATAACAAAGAAATATTATCACATTCAAGAAAAGATTTAAAATCAACACACTTATAGGAATATTTCATTTTTTAATTGACCTTAAAATAACCATTAATACTTAAACATGAAACACTAACCTTGATCATTAAGTTTTCCATTATTCCAATTTTAGTTAGTTGGTTAGCAGCCCCAATTTCAACGCCATTGCACTGAATTGAAGCTCTCACTGTTAAAGGAGTTTTACTTTGAAGCACCACAGCTGAAAGTCGATAAACCTGTCCAGGCCTAACTATTCTACTTGCAACAATAAAATAGCTCCTAAAACCAATATTAATATAAGTATTCAAAAATCTGTGAAAAATTAAATGATAAGAATTACTTTAAGAGGAAACACTAAAAAGGAGGTCTACGAGAGGGGGGGGGGACAAAAAAAACAAACAGGAATTTCGTCGTAACTTTTATGTTAATTTTTGTTTACACTTTAATAGTTATATTTTTACACCAAATTTTGATCGCCTTAAAAGTATTCTCCCTTAATCACAATGCACCTATCTCCAAACAATCCTTCCATTGTTTAAAACAAGTTTGTACCATTTTGTGTAATACATAGTTTTTTGGTCACTGAGAATCAGCATTTGGCTTAATTTTCTCATAGTTGGTCTTTTATTAAACCTGAATAGTTATAGAATAATAAAACATGAAGAAATATTAAAAAATAATCGGCTTAGGCTGTGAAACACACCAGTAAAGTCAATTTTTTTAACAAAAAAATTTTCAAGTTACGAATCAAGCGTCGTTTGTAATTAAACGGCCTACAATAATGCAAAACGTGCTAAAATAAACCATATGGAGAATATATTTCTCTTTCTAAAACGCTGATTATTTTTTACAAATGTTTAAGCAGTTCCGTAGAAAATGCACTTATGCGGCAGAAAAGCGGTACTGGCGTGGGTGCCTACAGGCCTCTACCACACCATTCAGTGTCCATAAATGGCTTAGTTATAGTGATATAATAACATTTTTGGTACATTATGTTGGTTTAATTAACGAACAAATATTAATGCAATAATTAAATTGTAAAAAAAAAATCAAAATTTTAAAAAAAATTTATTATTATTTTTTTTTAATTTAACCTACTTTATTCTGTACGTAGGTCGTTTAAGAAGACCTCAATTGTAAAAATGATATAATTATAATAATAAAACTTAATTAAAAATACTTTACTAAATATCTTGATTTTTTTTAATTTAACGTTTGCAATTTAACACTGTGTTTTGTATATTTACTGATTCTTAGAAGTAATTAAAATTTTTATATACTTCTCTCGAAATGAGTCATATTAATACCTGTTTTATAAACTAAAATAATATATACCTAATCTGAACTATATATAATGAATAGTTACCGGGTTGTTTAGTAAAACTCATATATCACTAATTAAAAAATTAATTTTTATTTCCTTTATTTTGTGCAGAAGTTGAACTATATCATAAATAAATAGGAAATTTTAATATTGAATGAATTATTCTCTATGAACAAAGAAAGATAGAAGGGGTGATGCTATTAGTTCTTCTATAAACCAAAACTGATTGTTTGGATTTGAGCTCAAAATGAGGAAAAACGTGAACTTAAACGAGAAAATTGGAAAAATACATTAAGCGAACGAGAAAGGAAGTGCCAAAACCTCGGAATAGATAAAAAGGACCAGTATCCATTATATAGCTAAATGAATGTATAGTAGAAAGATGAACAGAATATTTCAAGATGCTGCTAAAACGGGATCAATTGCAGTTTGGATGATATTAAGTGGATGATGTAGGTTTATTATGGTGAAAACCACTTTATTTTCGATTGCTGAAGGTGCACATCGGGACTATATTAACTTTGAAGCAGAATATAGAGCAGGATATCGAGAAAGTTATAGCTCATAGCTTTCCTTCTGTTTAGTGCATTTGCAAAAGATTTTTTAAGGAATCTTATATTAGTTATAGCTCGTTATTGTTGAGAAATTGTGGAATAAATTGTTCGGAATTTGTACCCTATCATAAAAAAATAGAAAATTTTAATATTGAATGTATTATTTCTCTGCGCAAAGAAAGATGGAAATGGCGAAACCGAACTGCTTTGACAGTTTTGCGCGTATATAGGCAACAAGCATATTAGAAAATAATATAAAAGGACTGTGGTTTTTACCTTTACAGGAAAGGAGGTACTAGGAAATGTAATACCCATCAAGATTCATTCCTGTTTAGTGTACCAAACAAATTATACTCAAGAATCTTAGAAGCTGGAATAAGAAATATTGTCGATTGCCAGAGTGATATGGATTGAGAAACTCAACTTGCACATAGGAAGAGAAGTTGAAAATTGGGACTGTCTTCACTTAAAGGCAGGTTATAGAGAAGTCCACATAAAAAGAAAAATAGCTCTCTATCTGCTTAGTGCCTCACACTTTGGATTATGCTAATATCTAATTGTCTTTCAGAAAAGCTCTGTTCATCTCTCTACTATACATTCATTTAGCTATATAATGGATACTGGTCCTTTTTATCTATTCCGAGGTTTTGGCACTTCCTTTCTCGTTCGCTTAATGTATTTTTCCAATTTTCTCGTTTAAGTTCACGTTTTTCCCCATTTTGAGCTCAAATCCAAACAATCAGTTTTGGTTTATAGAAGAACTAATAGCATCACCCCTTCTATCTTTCTTTGTGCATAGAGAATAATTCATTCAATATTAAAATTTCCTATTTATTTATGATATAGTTCAACTTCTGCACAAAATAAAGGAAATAAAAATTATTTTTTTAATTAGTGATATATGAGTTTTACTAAACAACCCCGTAGCTATTCATTATATATAGTTCAGATTAGGTATATATTATTTTAGTTTATAAAACAGGTATTAATATGACTCATTTCGAGGGAAGTATATAAAATTTTTAATTACTTCTAAGAATCAGTAAATATACAAAACACGGTGTTAATTTGCAAACGTTAAATTAAAAAAAATCAAGATATTTAGCAAAGTATTTTTTAATTAAGTTTTATTATTATAATTATATCATTTTTACAATTGAGGTCTTCTTAAACGACCTACGTATAGAATAAAGGAGGTTAAATTAAAAAAAAATAATAATAAATTTTTTTTAAAATTTTAATTTTTTTTTTACAATTAAATTATTGCATTAATATTTGTTCGTTAATTAAACCAATATAATGTACCAAAAATGTTATTATATCACTATAACTAAGCCATTTATGGACACTGAATGGTGTGGTAGAGGCCTGTAGGCACCCACGCCAGTACCGCTTTTCTGCCGCATAAGTGCATTTTCTACGGAACTGCTTAAACATTTGTAAAAAATAATCAGCGTTTTAGACAGAGAAATATATTCTCCAGATGGTTTATTTCAGCACGTTTTGCGTTATTGTAGGCCGTTTAATTACAAACGACGCTTGATTCGTAACTTGAAAATTTTTTTGTTAAAAAAATTGACTTTACTGGTGTGTTTCATAGCCTAAGCCGATTATTTTTTAATATTTCTTCATGTTTTATTATTCTATAACTATTCAGCTTTAATAAAAGACCAACTATGAGAAAATTAAGCCAAATGCTGATTCTCAGTGACCAAAAAACTAACTAAAGTCAAAGTTGTCAATCCGCCATCTTTGGACGCCATTTTGGGGCAGTGCGTTCACTTTTTTTTGTGGGAACATTGGCTTTTTTTTAATAAATAGTTACAAGGAACACAACGATATGCAATTTATAGGGATGTGGGGGGGGGGTGCACGGTAAGGGGGTCTGCCCCACAGACTATTAGGTATGTAGGGCTCTATATGCTACATGAAATGGCAAAAACATGATCTCCGTTAACAAATTAGAACTAAAGATATAAAATAAAAATGTTTGAGAAGTCTTTTTAACTTTTGTAGCTTAAAAACGGAACAAAATATAAAGCTTAATGATGTGGTGTAGAAGAGCATTAATTCAGCTTTCTGATGGTTGTACGGAAGTTGAATTTGGAGAAAATCTTGAGGTGTTATGAATGCTTTACTTGACACACAGAAAAACAATCCTCCAAGAAAATCAAGTACTTTTTTTTCTGTTGGCATTACAGACCTTGTAGACCTTTTGCCGCCTTAACAAGCCTGCTCCATCTCTGCCTTTCTTTGGCTATTTCTTTCCAGTTATCTGCACACAGCTCTATTGCATCTTAGTTAATTTTATCTATCCATCTGCTTTTTGGCCTTCCACATGGTCATTTGCCTTCTATGAAGGCATTCATTGTTAGCTAGAGGCTTCCAGATGGATTGCTGCTATGGATGCTAGGTACATGCCCTGTCCATCTTAACCTCCCTGGCTTCATATCATGGGATATTAATTGACTAGTTTCTGATAGCAGTTCTTTATTGTTCTTTCTTCTCCATGTGTTAGTATCTCAGATCACTCGGTTATCGTGGGGATGACTTTTCTCCCAAATCTTTCACTACTTTTTTCTAAAGTGCTAGTTAGTGTTCAGGTCTCACAGCCATATATTAAAACTGGCTTTATCATAGCATTTTACACCCTTAATTTGAGATTTTTCGGGATTTCAATACCTTTGAAAGGGAGAAGAAAACTGTTTGCGCTAGTTATATGCTGATCTATTTCTGACTGTCATTCACTGAGGTTATAGTAGAGCAGAGGTATTTGAATTATTCTACCCTCGGAAACAATTTTTCTATCACGTAGATCCTGTTATTTGGGTAGAATTTTTGGCTTATTATCATATATTTGGTTTTATCTTATTTCACTTGTAGGCCGATTTGTTCTGTTTCTCTTATCAGAATCTTAGCAACTTTCTCAATGTCCTCTTGATTACTTCCAAAGACAGCTATATTATCTGCGTATCTAAGAACTTTATGATTCGTTCTGACGTGGATCCCTCCGTTTTTGTGATGTGTTCACCTTATCCAGGGCTAAGCTGAGCATCAGTGATAGTCTGTGATGTGTTCACCTTATCCAGGGCTAAGCTGAGCATCAGTGATAGTCTATCACCCTACCGCTCAAACTTTGAAGGCTTCTGATACTTCTCCTTGTATTAGAACTCGACATTTAGGCTCATTTGTACACGCCCTTATCAATCTCATTAACTTAACGGGAACTCCCACTTCACTCATGATTTTCTAAAGACAGTCCTTGTACACAGAATCATAGGCTGCTTTGAAATAGACAAATAAGGCGTAGACGTCCTAAGCTACTTCCCATCATTTTTCGAGTACTTGGCTTTAGGATGAAGATCTGGTATAGAATGCTACTTCTTTTTCTGTATCCAGCT